TTTATAGGCGATCATATTTGGTTTGGTTCCGTTGAATGGTTCGGAACCAGAGGTTGTTGAATTTCGTGGAGCGGCCTAAAGTCCCATTAAATGGAGAAGTAGGCTTGGCCTAACTGTGTCACTCTAGCCTTAGTTTTATATATATTTGTGTCAATGGTTTCGAGAGTCTTGTGAATTGAGTTAGAAAAGATGTTGGACGTCTGAATGACTCCTTCGGGATTTTGTATGATTCGATTATGATTTCATAAGGTATGAATTTAGAAGATATGAGAACGATTGTTATTACTTTGATCAAATTAATTAATTAATGTGGCTAGAAAATGGTTTTGTGTTTCGTCGACTCTTAAATATGATGTGTGTTCTGAATTGCGATATCATGATGAGACATAATGATTTATATGTTGGTGGGAGCGAAATCATGTCTTCATGGGGATTGGTTATGTAGCCTGAGTCCAGGAATTACACGTTGTTAGGTTATAATAAATGATTGAGGAATGCTATGCTTTTCTGCTTGAACTTAGTGGATAAACGTCTGATTTTGTGATAAGGTGAACTACGAAATGATTGAGGAATGATGTGCTTTTCTGCTTGAACTTAGTGGATAAAAGTCTGATTTTGTGATAAGGTGAACTACGAATGGCTTGATCCCTATTAAGGGTACGTAGGCAGTCTATCAAAGAGGTTAGATGCAGCCATAAAGTATACGAAAAATTATTATGCATCTGGATCTTGAAGAATACTTTGTATATATTCAGGAGGCGAGGTATGATAGATATACGGGTATTTGGTGATGTCACGTGTCGATCCTGGACGTATGTCGGGATCGGGGCGTGACATCCTGGGCCCACTCTACTACCGTAGCACAATATTGTCCGCTTTGAGCCCCGACCACGCCCTCACGATTTTGTTTGTGGGAACTCATGAGCAACTTCCCAGTGGGTCACCCATCATGGGAGTGCTCTAGCCACCTTCTCACTTAACTTCAGAGTTTTGACGGAACCCGAAGCCAGTGAGCTCCCAAAAGGCATCGTGCTAGGTAGGGATGAGAATAAACATTTAAAGATCACTCTCCTGGGCGATGTGGGATGTCATAATCCACCCCCTTAGGGGCCCGACGTCCTCGTCAGTACACCTTCCGGCCAGGGATTAGTTTTGATACCAATTTGTCACATCCCAGCCCGGGGCGGACCACTTCCCTAGCCCGCTCCACCACTGTAGCACGATATTGTTCGCTTTGGGCCCCGACCACAGCCTCACGGTTTTGTTTTTAAGAACTCACGAGCAACTTCCCAGTGGGTCACCCATCAAGGGAGTGCTCTGGCCACCTTCTCGCTTAACTTCGGAGTTCCGACGGAACCCGAAGCCAATGAGCTCCCAAAATGCCTCGTGCTAGGTAGGGATGAGAATATATATTTAAGGATCACTCCCCTAGGCGATGTGGGATGTCACATAAAATACATGAAAAATAATTTACCTACATAATAACAAACCCATATATGCAAAATACATGCAAACTAATTTACCTTATAAATTCATTGTTTAATTTTTAAAAGAAACAATGTTTCTACTAGTTTTTTTTTTCCCAAAAATAAAGTACCTATTATTTAATTTTCATGAAAATTGTGCACCTATTGTGTAATTTATAAAAAAAATTACATATTGTTTATTTTTTTTTCTATGAAAATAATGTAACTATCGTATGGTTTTTACAAGAAATAATGTATCTACTAGTTTATTTTTACCTTTTAAAAAAAAATAATTCACCAGTTAATGTATCTGCTTTTTCAATAGCATGTATATTGAACTAATTAGATTTGGATTAGGCGATTTCACATAAAAGAAGAAACGAACTTTAAAAAAAAAAAAAAAAATTAAAAGCAAGAAAAAAAAAACTTAAACTAATTGAATGTTGTTGACAAACAAAAGAAAATAAATTAAAAGTCTACAAAAACAACCGTAATAGCCATGTTAATGTTGGTGGAATGGTGCTGTAAATAAATTTAAATGTATAGACATCTTTTGTCTTACATTGCATCAAATTCAAAATTTGGGTTTTATTTAAATGTTTTAATATAGGTGGGTTTATGTCTAGAGTTCAATAGCTGTAAGATGCTAAATCTAAAGCATATAGAAAATAAGACATACTTTTTCAATTGAGAACTTCTATTTTTACAAATAATTCCATCTTGTGTAGGTCTGCATAATCCCATTTTTAACCAAATGATATCGAACATTTCCAATATCTCCCATTTTGAGTTCTTACTTTTCTGACCTAGACACTTGATTTGAGTTGAACCCTGGTTGTGTTCCTTTGCAAAGTTAATAAAACGATCTATCACATCTAAATATTCATTAGCAACTCTGTTTGGATTCTATATGCACTGTCTATCCATTTTGTGTGTTAACACATTAAATATGCAAGGATTAGAACAAGTTCAACTATGTCGTGTTACTTTATGCCTATCCCATTTGGGAATGCAAATTTATGCACCATAATTTATGGCTCCACCAAGATTAGATTTCGTTGTGGAAAAATTTTGGCCGCATCTCCGTACAGTTTTCCCAGTACATGGCTTAGATATCAAATACCTAATATGCACTTGAAGACAACAATGAAATGTTACCAAAAATCCCACGATCGAAACCTAATCCGTGGATTGTAAACTATGACACCCAAACTGTAAAAAAATTGGACAATTCAAAAATCAATTGGATTGCAGTAATGGATTCGAATCCATGTGCTAAATCCAGCTAATATCAAACGGGAAACTAAGTTTTCTTGAACAAATGCTTACGAAGTTAAGTACTATAACTTTGTACAACACAAAATAAATTTGTATGTGGTGTACAAAAATATTTGAATTCACAAATGTAGTACTTCTATCAAACTACTACAAAAAATAAAATAAGTTAAATCACAAAAAAAAATCAAGAAATTAATTTCAAATTCGTTATGCACCAATAATCGTATACAAGAAACCTATAGAAAACAAACTTAATTTGTTATTTTTAGTTCAACATTAAAAGAAAATATATTACGAAATCAAAATTACCGTTATTGCCTTCGAGTGAGTGGATGGACAAATTTCACGTGAAGGCCGAAGAAGTAAGATGAATACGGTGTGGATTATAAGACAAGAGAGAGGGAAAGAGAGAGGGGAAGAGATAGGGAAAGAGAGGCAGCTATCAGATTTTTTAGTTAAACACTTTTGAAATCTACCTTTCGCGATTGGAGAAAATGATTAAAAGACGAAGGTTTTGCGCAACGAAACATTTTGTCACCCAAGCTAAAACTTCGTTGCCCATTTCCAAGCCAAACCCTAGTTGCATTTGGGCTTTAGGCAACGCACAATTCGTAACGTAACGACGCTTTGGACGACGAAATAATGATTGTTGTGTACCACATTCTTTATTTTGTTTTAATTTTATTATTCTTTGTTTTATTATTATAAATCTATAATAGAAATTATGCAAATAAAATAGTTAAAGCATATAAAATATTATATAATCCGGATACAAATTAGTAAATTTGTGGCTTTCACATATTTAAAGCGTACATACAAACCAAATTAAATACTACTATCTTAATCAAAATAAACAATGACTGTGGTTGTGGTGCCTGGGCAGCTTGATCGGCATAATGCTTCGCTTCTTGTAACGCCTCTTGAAGATGTCATCGTTGTAATTCATCGTGTAAGTATTGATATCATCAATAATAAAGTACGCATGTTATGCACAAAATTATGAAAATGTTAATAACTAAATTACTAATTAATACTTAGTGATGAGTCATTCAACAATAACTTCCTCCCCTCGGGTAGACCTGACATTCGTATCTTGTTTCCTGTGTTTGTGTCATACCCGATATATTAATAGGTTGTGTCGTGTAACACCTGTTAAAATGAACGGGTACTATAACCTGACCCGTTACTCGTTAAAGAAAATATATTTTTAAACCAAATAAATAATCAAATGAAAAACATAATACTAAAGTATATACATACCACATTGTCACATAAATATTGCTTCAAAACATAAAAATACATTTGTCTTTCAAGTATTAAAGGTATACATACCCCAAAATAAGAGCCTAATGAAAAACATTTTTAATGTGTTTAGTATTTTTAAACTACTTTGATATTTTTATTTTTTAATGTTTGTATAATGTTTTAATCTCACTTTTAAGAGAGTAAAACATTTATGAGTATGACTGTATAAGAGAGAGTAAAAAACTATATGTACTATTAATTTGTAAAATTTATCCCAGTAATGATAATAAAAATATATAAATAAATAAAACTTAATTTCTTTTGAACTTATACAAAATAATAATACATATTTAATAATAATACATACATTACGGCTATTGAATTTTATAGTAAGTTTTTTTAATAGTTTAACTTTAAAATCATCAAAATCATTTTCTCTTAACGGGTCGAACGGGTGGCCCACGAGATACCTACGTGTAAACCCATTAATGACCCGTTATTAATGGGTTCTTAACATGTAACCCCTATAATGACCCAATTAGTTATCGTGTTGATCCGAAACCTCTTTTTTGTGCCGTTTTCGTGTTGTGTAAGAAATTGCAAGGTCTATCCTCAGACACTTCTTCCAGGACGACCATTGCAGAAGGCAATGGTTCTGCACTAGCTTGAAGTGCACCTCCCTCTCATAATGTATTTGCCGCATGGTATCACAGTTGAAGTGCATCCAGTGATCATTCATCATATGTCTGATTGTGCGAGACCTTCTATTTTTTTTCCTATGAAAAAAAGAATTTGTTCAAAACCAAACCTAAAATTCCACCGAAAAATTTGTTCATAACCTCCCATAAAAATAAAAATTTCTCATAACCTCTAAACCTTGATATACATAATGTCCACATCCAACCAAGATTTGCAACAACCAATCAAGTATAATAATCAACTTTTAATTTAATTATGCAATTAAACTTTGCAACAAAAAACAACCTTAAAGTTCATACAAATTGAGTATTACCTGTCTGTGATCCTTCTCCCTTACATGTCACAATCGGTGCATCGCCAGATGTGTGCTCATTTGGAGAAACAACAGAAGTTGTGGAATCCGATGTAATTACCAAACATGGCATCTACAAAATTATAACCACAATTATCATAATTAAACAAAAAAAATCAGTTCCACTTGGGAGAAAGATAGAATTACTGTGGATACCTTCGATCGTCGACACTAAGAGTGGGAAAAAGAAAAGAATGAAGATTTGGTAGTTGGGATAGAAGGATTTTTTGGAGTTCGGGGGTCAAAGAAACATTGGGATTTGGGAAGAAGATGAGGAAGAGAGGAAATGAGGAGAGAAGTGGACTTGGGATTTAAACACAAACCCGTGAACCCTTGTGTGGCAAAGCTCTTCGTCTCCTCAAGTGCCTTATTCATCGCGCAATAAATTTCTGCCATTATTGTTCCACCTAAATTTCTGGGGCTTTGCAAGGTGAATCTGGAAAGGCATTTGTCATCCTGTTTTTTCTAGGCGACGAATGTAAAACCATTTTATGCATGACAATGAATTATGCCGAGAATAATTGAGGGAATAGTTGACTTGGCAATCAAGCTAATGAAATCTCTAGAACTCTCGGTGCCATAAGGAAATAAACATATTGGAGTCCTAAATAAATGCAATCAATTAAAGGCCTTTATTAAGTAAATACAAGGAATAAGAGTCATGATGGGACTATAATTGATAAGATATGATTTGGGTTGATATCCTTTCTGATAATAGGGAGGAATTGATTGAAACCCTAGCTATATAACCTAGGAGCAGTCCCTGCTTCCATACTGATAGAAACTCACGAAAACTATAAGCCTATTTCAATAGTAGAGTTCATTGAGAGGTACTGGAAGTAGAAGACTACTTCTACTTTGTTCGCAAGGATCAATGGTTTCACCTTCATAACCATGTCTTCCAAATTCTACAGATAAGTTCAATATAATTAGTCGATCTCTATTTCATATTGATTGGACTTATTCGTGATCCTAATGTCATGTTGCTATGATTTCAGAATATGTCTTACATGTGGTATCAGAGCTATGCAACAAGCTTATGGTTCGATTCACAGGTAATTTGATTAACTGTAGATGATTGACACAAGTGAAGCATAATTTGTGTTCATCGTTTGGTTGACTATTTTGACTAATTGATCCTGTGAGACTTCATAAAGATGCCTCCGCAGTTTTGTATCACTGTTTTATGCAATTTTTTTTTTTTTTATCACGTTTACCTGGCCATCAAGATAAACTGAAATTGGTATACAACTCTAACAAGGCTTGTTGTTTGCAACTTTATGGACTCCTATTTAATTCATAAATATATATATATATATATGCAAGGTCGCTATTGTTTTCGGTGAACGATGACCTAATCTTATCTTGGGTAAGTTTTGGTTCTTGGTTATTTCTCTATGAAGTGATAGTCGCTTCTATTATTGCAATGAATATTACTTTTAGTATTCTTTGAAATCGATTGTCCATTTCAATTATGACATAGAAAAGAATAAACATTACTTAAGTGTTTTTATGTGACTGATGTAATTTTGATATGAAAATCATTCATATCAATAATTTTTGTTTGATAAGACTTCCCTAACTTCAATAACATATAAAATTTTGTCATGTCATAATACTAAATGGATTTTAGACGCTGGTATTTTTTCACGTTTTTTGGACCATAAATGGATTTATGGTAAATTTTTAAGTGTGATACCATATTGCTGGAATTCTGCAGACTTCCGTAGAATAGTCGCTTGTTATATTATTTTGACATATCTATGTAACTCATAAATTCATGAAATTTTAGTATGATATACATTGAGATATTTATTTCAAATCTAGAAATTTTGACAAGCATTGGTTTGAAAATGAATTATTGGTGAATTTGTAATCTTAGGACTGTCCTGCAGAATTTATGCGGTTTCTGCAGCAAATTCCATTTCGATTTTATTTTTAGCCCACTTTTAAAATCGAAAAAATCATGGAATTTTAAGTAACAGTAAATTTACATGTCGACTTTATTTCTGCAAATTTTCATACACATTGGAGGAAGATTGAAGTTTTGGTGAATTATTTAGTCTCGGGTATGTTTTGCAGAATTTCTGTTGTTTCAGCAGCACAACTTATTTCGAATTTGTTTTTAGTACACTTGTAAAATCTTAAAAATTATGAAATTTTGGGAAATAACAGATTTTTATGTTTACTTTATGCCTGAAAAGTCTGAAAATATTGAACATTTTCTGCTGTTTCTGCAGCAACTCTCTTTTCGAATTCATTTTTGGCTCACTTATAAAATTTTAAAAATCATGAATTTTTGCGAAATAGTAGTCATATATGTCTAGTTTATACTTGAAAATTTTCATGACAATCTAAAGAGAATTGAGTTTGTTAGTGAATTTGCAAACTAAAGTAGTGCTGCTGAATTTTGGTACTTCAAAACTAGTTTTGTTATGTGATATTGTTTCACTGATTTGTGCACATCTATTGGTACCGATTATTATACAAGGTTATGGTTCCAATATGTCCTTATTATATGCAAATTCTCAATATTAATGAATTTTATATAGACAACACTGATTAAATTTTGATTTAAACATGTATTGGTTTGTTTTGCTTAAACCAATGTTTTGTTTGGTCATCAATTCTGATTATGATGATTGTCTTTTGAGAGAAAATTGGAAAGTGGCATCAGTTTACTAATTGATCATTTTGCTCCTTATTGAATAACTGAATAACCATGTTTCCTCTTTCGAGAACTCTATTGTTCAATGTCAATAACGACATACTTTTGTGTTTGATTGAATCTTTTGAGAATCATTGAATATCCAACAAAACGGTTATTTAATACTGTTCTAAAGGATTATTTTAAACAATCAGAATTCTAATTTATATGGTGAATACTTTTGTCCCAATGGAAATTTCAGGAAATCACTCACCAATTATAAATTAGTATTATAGCAAATCATAAAGTACTTCTAACATATTTTCATCTGGCCAAAGCTGTTGAAGCTATATGTATTTTATGTATTTTGTGTATTTTATGTTTTGGCTAGCTATGCAGGTATTTTCTTTGCATGATTAGTTTCTGCCCAAAGGTGTAACAATCAGGCAATTTGGAGTTGGTTCGATCCTCCACAACTCGACTACTTCCATGATGAATCTTGCAGAATCGAGAGTGAGTAGGTAAATTTGCCAATCTTTTGCCTTAATTTTCTGTGAGTTCTAATTGGATTAAAATTATTGTTGAAAAAATTGATGTGTTGAGATATCTATGTGTTTACTTTAATCAACTTTGTTTTAGAATTAAAACATAAATTTTGAGTTTGGATTCTCTTATTAGGTTTCATTTAAATTTATGATCTAATATTTAACACATATGTGGGTCTTCTCTCATACACTAAAATAAATTTTGTAGCCATTGGTTTATCTAATCACTTGTTACTTTTAGATCGATTAATAATGTTGAGATATTGTTCCTTATATGAGCCTAATTTTGATACATATAGATTGGTTTATTATGTCCAAACCAACTATTTTGTGACTCAACAAATTTATTTAAGAATTTTAATGTTTTTGGCATATTAGAGGTTATTTATCTAATGAAATGAACCTTTAATTTATTTAAGAATTTTTTTTGTGTGTTTTGAGCATATTAAAGATTGTAAATTGGTTTTATTTAAATTATGATTAAATATGAAATTTTGGTAGAGCTTGGGAAATACTGCTGCAATTTTGCATACCTTGCAACGTGTCCTATTTGATTACCATTTTGATAGATTTTCTAACTCCAAACTTTGTAAAAATTTGTCATCTTATATTATATAATGGATTGTGTACACTATCCTTATTGATTCAACTAGCCTATATTTTGTTATATGAAAACCACTTTCTCTAGTGTTTAATCTTGCAATTTTGAGTGTTTGCCCAAGTGGGAGAAATAATGTATTATGGGCTTCGCACTCATCAATTTTGCATGCTTTTAATGATCATAGTTTTGGTAGATAAAACGTACATTATCATACTTGTTTATATTTTATTTGTTACATATGCAACTAATCTTGTAGGAAATTCAAGAAGGGTTAATGAGTATATTCTGCTCAAAAGTGTTTTACTTATTAATTCTTATATGTTGTTCAAGAAATTGGACTTGTGATTTATATGTTACTGATGAATAATTAATCTGCTCAAAAGTGTTTTTTTATTCAGTACAAATGTAAATCAATGTATAGTGAAACATGAAATTGACAAGATTGCATACACTTCATCTGCTCATAAGTGTTGAAACTATATACGTTTGCCCTTGTATTTTGTGTTTTAGCTATGCAAACCTAATATAATTAGTTTATGTCCAAAGATGATTATGGAATTATATGCTTTTGATGCAATAAGAAAACATTTGGTTAAAGTTTTCTATTTCTGTCAATTGTTAGATGAACAAAACTGACCAAATAATTTTCTATAGTTTTTCAGTCACGAGAATCATTTCCCTACAAATATCTAAAATAAAGATGTTGAGCTCACAAATTTTATGTTCTAGATCCCATGACTAATGTTTTGCTAATGGGAGTATTTGAAAGGTATCTGTTTCGTTTTGTAGACATTTATAAAGTTTTCTTTCTTTTACTCTTTTAATTAGTGGGAGCAATAATAATTTTGTCTCTTTCACTACTAAATTAAACAGTTTGCGTGACTACGGACATTTTGTCGCGCAAAGAATTATGTGGTTGCACATAAACTCTGGCGACCAAAAAATCATCGCGCATATTTTGTCGCGTAAAGCTCGTGAAAAAAGACATTGCAGGACAAACATCTTCAAATTTGTCGCGCGTCTTAACAACTACGCGACGCTTTACTAGTCGTCGCACAAATGTTATACGGACAAAGGTTGTTGTCGTACGATATAAACGAGTACAAGTGCGTTTGTGGGTAATTTGTCTCAAAACTTGTTGTGTGATGAAATCTATAGTAGTCACGTGGTAATGCACGACGAAGAGTAAGACGCGCTTAATTTTGTGCGACGACATTTTGTCGTCGCACACGTGTAATTTTTAATAAAAAAAACAGATTTCATAAAATGTACGTACAAATGTAAAGTTAAAAAAAAAACAGGGAACAAAACTATGAAAATAAAGAGGCAAAATCTATAGGCATGTCATTCAAAGGTGCTTGGTAATCTTGCTGCTGGTTGGGGATGGGGTCGGAGGTCGACGGGCTTGATTGTTGTACTTGCTCGGAGTGGAAAGGATGTGAGGGCGATGGTGTAGAAAAGCCGGGGAGATGTATTCAAGAGGAACTGAGGGCTTGTACAAGCATTGATATTTGAGACTTGTATGATGACAACTCACTCCTCAGCCCAGCGACTTCCTGCGTCAAA